CTCGACGAAGTCGGCGACGCTGAGCCGCGCGGATTCCCGGGAGAGGCGGAAGCGATTTCGCGCGCGACGCGCGGAGGCGCGAAGGCGGGCGAAATGGCCGCGCGCACGCAGCAGTCAATTCGAAGAGGGGGCGCGCGCAGAGCGCGCGGAGCTGAAGGGGCATAAGAAGAGCTCCCACTGCGGAACTGAGATGCCGATGGGCTTCCCCTCGGAAGCGGACTGGAAGACGGACGGGCGCAAGCGCGCGGGCAGCAGGCGGGCCGCGAGGGAGGAGAAGAAGGCACGGTCGGAAGAGGCGAAGAAAGCGCGGCGTGGCAACTGCGAAACGGAGAAGGCCAAGAAGGAGCTCTCTGGCCAAGCGCAGTCGAAAACGGCGACAGCGGGCCAGAGATGCAGCAGCTGCGTTGAAAAGGAAGCCAGGGATCAGACCACGATGGCGAGGGCCGCGCGGCCAGAAGTGAGAAAGCGCAGCGAGCGCATGACCCCGAAGGAGGAGGGGCAGCGCTCTCGGTGGACGTGGAAGGGCGCCGGAGGCGCTCGGAGGGACTGCAAGTAGCGCGTGGAAGCCGCGAAGATAGAGGCGGAGTTGGACACCGAGCGCGAGACTTCGAAAGAGGTGGGGCAGCTCTCTCGGCGGAAGAGGAGGGGCGCCGAGCACGCGGGGGGGAATTGCAGCGGGCGCGCAGGGCCCACGAATGCAACGGTGATATGGCGCAGCGGGCGCGAGGCCCCCAAAGAGGAGGGGCGGCTCGGTCAGCAGACGTGGCGGGGGCGTCGGGGGACCAAAGAGTGCGCGAATTCCACGACGATGGATGTGAAATTGCGTTGCGGGTGCGAAACCTCGAGAGAGGTGGGGCAGTCCTCTCGGCGGATGCGGGAAGGCCTCGGGGCGCCGGGAGGAAATGCCTGGAGTGCGCGGGCACGCCGAAGGCACAGTTAAAATGGTTTAGCAAGTGCGAGACCTCCAGGGGGGGCGAGCAGTTCTCTTGGTGGATGTGGAAGAGCGCGGGGGGCTTGAGGGCGACTGCGCGCGTGGGCTCCAGGAAAGCGCAGCGCGGTCAGCGGACTTGCAACGGGCGTAAACAAATCTTGGGGAAATGGAAGTTCAGAAGGTGATCGGACGCGAGGTCGACGAACAGAGGGAACGGCAGGCAGCGACGCAACGCACGATACGAGGAGGAAAACAGTTGGGGCGACACGCTCATGGAGACGAGGGTCGCACAAGTAGCCGAGGCGAGGCGCGCAGGGCCAGCGCCCTGGTTCCAGCGGGCGGGGACAGAAGTCTCCGGGAATGGCAGTGCCAGAGCGGGCTGGGGGAAGCTCAGGCAGAAGGACCCATGGCCGCGCGGCCTCGGGAGCAAAGGTCCGAAGAGGTGGGGGGCCGAAAAAGCCCAGGGAATGGAGGTGCCAGGGCCGGGCGGTGACCGGGCGGGGCCCCGGGCTCGGATCGGTTCTGGGCCAGAGAATGTGGGGCGGAGGCCCCAAGAACGGGAGGCTCAACGGGCAGGCGGGCAGGAGCCGGCGGTGATTCGGGGGTGACCAGGCGCGGAGGGCGGGATCGGCTCTGGACCGGGAAATGTCGTGAGGGCGGCCCCAAGAACGGGAGCCCGATGGGCGGGAATGCGGCGGCGAGGCGGTGGCCAGGCGGTGGCCAGGCGGAAGGTCGAAGTCAGTTCTGCGCCACGAAATGCCGGGCGCCACAGGAACGGAGGCCCAAAGAGCGGGATGCCAGGGCCCATCGGCAACCAGGTGGCGAGTAGGCGGGAGGCCGGGGTCGGTTCTGGGATGGCTAGAACACGTCGAGCGGGGGGTCCCAAGAACAGATGTCCACGGTGGGGCGCCAGGGCCAGGTAGTGACCAGGCGCCAGGCCGTCGCGGGCCGTTCTGGGCTGCGAAAGGTCGGGCGGGGGGGCCGAAGAACAGATGTCCACCGTGGGAGTGCCGGGGCCAGGAGGTGACAAGGCGGGGGGGTCCGCGTTCGTTTAGAGTTAGGAAATGTCGCGGAAGCGGCCCCGAGAAAAAAGTTCATACGAGTGGGGTTGCAGGGGCCAATTGGTGGCCAGGCGGGTCGGGGTCGGCTCTAGGCTGGGAAATGTAGCGCGGGGGGCTTAGGGAACAGAAGTCCAACGGGCAGGGGGGCCAGGGCCAGGTGGTGACCAGATGAGATGATCAGATGATGACCAGGCGTGGAGTCGGGGTCGGTTCTGGGATATGAATCTTCGGGCGGGAAGACCAGAACAGAAGCCCAACGGGCGGTGACCAAGCGGCGACAAGGCGGTGATCAGATAGAGAGTCCTCTGGGCTACGAATTGTCGGGTGGGGGATTCGCAAAACACAGGCCCGACGGGTGGGGGGGCTGGGGCCACGCGGTGGCCAGGCGGTGACCAGGCGGCGGGCCAGGGTCGGTTTGGGGGCTGGAAGTGCGGGGTAGGGGCGCCGGGCGCAGGTCGTGACCGCGCGGGGCGTCGGGGTCGGTCCCAGGCGACAATCTCGAGCGGGGAGGCCCAAGAAACGAACTCCAGAGGGCGGAGGTGTTCGAGCCAGGCGGTGACCACAGGGGGGGTCGGAGTCGTTGTTGGGCTAGGAAATGTCGGGCAGGGGGCCCGACGGACAGAGGTCCAGAGGGCGGGGGTGATTGGGTCAGGTGGCGACCAGGTGGTGACCAGATGGTGACCGGGTGGTGATCAGGCGAGGAGTCGGGATTGTTTCTCAGATAGGAATCGCCGGGCGGGGACTAGAACCGAAGCCCAACGGTTGGTGACCAAGCGGCGGCACGGCGGTGTCCAGAAGGGGGCTCGGGGCTGGTTCTGGTTTAGAAAATGTCGGGTGGGGCGCCCGAAGAACACAAGTCCAACGAATGGGGGGGGCCGCCGAGCCAGGTGGCGACAAGGCGGTGGCCAAGTGGTGACCAGCCACGGGGTCGGGGCCATTTCTGGGCCAGGAAATGCCAGGCGTAGGGGACCAAGGACAGCAGTTCAACAGGTAGACCAGACGTGCGGGGGCTAGGCGGTGACCGAGCGGTGGCCAGGCGGGGCGCAGGGGTCGGTTCCAGGCTAGGGAGGGGGGGAGGGGGGAGGGGGGGGGGGGGGGGGGGGGGGGGGGGGGGGGCAAATCCAACAGATGGGGGTGCTGGGGCCAGGTGGTGACCAGGGAAGGGGGGCGTGGCTGGTTAGAAAGTCGTGTGGGGTCCCGAGAACAGAAGTCCAATGGGCGGAGGGCGGTAACCAGGCGGGGAGTCGGGGTCGGATCTGGGCCAGGAAATGCTTGGTGGGGGGCCCAAGGACAGGTCCAACGAGCGCGGGTGTCGGGGCCAGGTCGTGGCCAGGCGGTGGCAAAGTGGGGGGTCGGGGTTGGTTCTGGGCCATGAAGTCAATCGGGGTGAGGGTGCGAACAACAGGGGCTTGACGTGCGGAGGTGCCGGGGCCACGTGGCGGCAAGGTGGTGACCGGGTGGTGACCAGGTGGCAGGTCGGGGTCGTTTCTGGGTAAGGAAACGTCGAGCGGGGAAGGGCACGAACCGAGGTCTCACGGGTAGGGTGCCAGGGCCAGGCTGTTGCCAGGTGGTGACCAGGCGGTGACCAGGCGGGGGGTCGGGGTCGGTTTTGGGCTTGGAAATGTCGGGCCGGGGGTCACAAGAACAGATGCCCAACGGGCGGGTGGTCCGGGGCCAGGTGGTGGTGACCAGGCGGCCACCAGGTGGTGGCCAGGTGGGTCGTCGGGGTCGTCTCTGAAAGTCGAGTGGGGAACCCCAAGATCAAGGGTCCCACAGGTGGGGGTGCCGTGGCCAGGTAGTGACCAGGTGAGTGGGGGGTCGGGGTCGGTTCCGGGCTGAGAAATGATGGTGGGTGGGGGGTCTCAAGAACAGATGTTGTCGGGCGGGGGGGCCCACGAACAGACGTCCAGCGGGCGGGGGTGCCGGGGCCAGGTGGTGACCTGGTGAGTGATCGGGGCCGGTTCTGGGCTAGAAAATATTGTGTGGGGCGGCCCAAGAACAGAGGTCCAACAGGTGGGGGGGGCTAGAGGTGGCTGGGCGGTGACCACGTGGGGGGTCGGTGTTGGTTCTGGGCTGGGACTTTTTGGGTGGGGGGCCCAAGAGCACAGGTCCAACAGGTGGGGGTGTTGGGGCCAGGTGGTGACCAGGTGGAAGGTCGGGGTTGGTTCTGGGCTAGGCGATGGTGGGGACCCGAGAACACATGCCCAGCGGGCAGAGGTGCTGGGGCCAGTTGGTGGTCAGGCGGTGCCTAGGTGGTCACAAGGTGGGGGGTCGGAGTCGATTCTGGGCCGGGGCCACGTGGCGGCCAGGTGGTGGCCGCAAAGTGACCAGGTGGGGTGTCGGGGCCAGTTCTGGGTTGGGAAATATGGGAGGGGGGGTCCCAAGAGCAGAGGTCCAACGGGCGGGGTTGCCAGGGCGAGGTGGTGACCAGATGGTGACCAGATGGTAGCCTTGTGGGGGGTCGGGTTCGGCTCGGGGCCAGGAATTGTGAGGGGGGGCCCGAAGACAGAGGTCGAGAGGGTGGGAGGTCCCAAGAACAGACACTTCAGAGGGTGAGGATGCTGGTGAGCGGTGGGGGTCAGGGGGAGAGCGTCGGGGTCGGGGTCGGTTGTGAACAGGCAGGTCCCAAGAACAGACACTTCAGAGGGTGAGGATGCTGGTGCGCGGTGGGGGTCAGGGGGAGAGCGTCGGGGTCGGTTGTGGCCAGGCAATTCACTATCGGGGGGGGGAGCCATGAACGCAAGTGCCGGTGGGTGGACGTGTCGGCGCCAGGTGGAGGCGAGGTGTAGGGTCGGGGGCGGTTCCCCGCAAGGAATCGTAGGGTGGGGTCAGCGAAACATGTCACGGCATCACAGGATCTCCCACACGCCTCTGGGGTCGGCGGATATGCCAACTTGTCTACCTCATCCCCCCTCATCGTCATCCTCCCCCTCCAAATGGTCGCGGGATGAGCGTCGGATGGTTGCCCGCAAACCAGCTCTAGACTCCTGCCCGCCCCCGTCGGCCAGGACTGTTCGTCGTGGCCCTCGTGCTGGTGGCGCTCTTCGCCTTCTGCTTGGGGTCCCCCGCTGCAGCGCGTTCAGGAGCACATGGACGCGGAGGAGAGGGGGCAGGGAGGGCGACGGCGTCCGGGCCGCTGCCGCGGCAACGGCGGACCCAGCCCAGGATCTGGCCCTCTGAGGCCCAGGAGTCCTTGGCTGCACGTGAGAGTGACCCTTCGCCAGAGTGACCTGGGGAGACCTGTTTCTAGGAGGCGCGGAACGTGGCTGAACCCAGGCATCCAGGCCGCTGCTGCCGCACTGCATGCAACGACAGGCAAGCCGCGCACCAGAGGTCGCTCCTGCCTGGGGCCACTCTTGCGTGTAGCCGAAGCCTGGCCACGATCCGTTCCTCCTTATCCGCTCCCCCGCAGCCCTTGCGGCGCGTCCGTCCTTGGCCTCCGCCTCCCTGGGCCTCCAAGGGAGTCCACGTCCGTCCTTGGCCTCCAGGGGAGTTCGCTGTCCGTCCTTGTCTTCCGTCCGAGCGTTCGTCGTCCTTGGCCTCCGTACGAGAGTCGAGGGAGGAAAAACCACCCCGACCCCGACAATTAGCGTTTACTAAACGGCCCTGGGCGTTTACTAAGCAGCCCTGCCATGTTCGATTCCTTCTTTTAGTGCGTTTACTACACGGCTTCACTTCTGGGTGCTTCTGCTGGGGGTGGACGTTTCTGCTCTCGAGAGAGTTCGTTGTCCGTCCTTGGCTCCCGAGGGGAGTCCACGCCGGGCCCCCCATGGCGGTCCAAGACCAGCACTGTACAGCAGACGGGCCCCAGCGGGGGGGAGGGGGAGGGGGGGGGGGGCTGGGGCCCCGGAGGAGGAGGAGGAGGAAGAGGAGGAGGAGGCCCGCGGCTGCCCAGGGAGGGCCGGGCAGAGGACGGGGGGAGCGGGGCTGCAGGGGGCCACGGGCGGCCCAGACCCCCCGTGGGCCACGAGAGATACGCGACGGCAGGTTTTTGCTCGATGCTCGGCCTCGGGGGGCCCCTACCAGGCCTCGGGGCCGCCCGAAAACGACTGCTGATGAGGAAGCGGTCCCAGGGAATGGGTCGAGACCTTTGGGGGGTCGACGCTGTGAGCAGAATCATGACGTCGGGGGGTCTGGGAGAGGAAGGACGCGTGCTAGTCGTCGTCCGGTCTCGAGACTTCGGATCCCTGACGCTCGCAGTCTCGGACACCGACGTTTGAGCTTTCTCATGGCAAGCTCGCCCAGCGTTCCCAGCATCGACGTGGCGCTACCCCTTCTGAGCCCAATGCAGCACTGAGGAAGGCTTAGCCAAGCTCTCTTTTTTCTATGGCTGGGCAGCCCCAAGCCTTTCTCACTACAGACAGAGGAGCGGAGGGGAGGGGGGGCGGTGAGTGGAGGGGCAGGGGTGGAAGGACGAGGGCGGAAAGGGAAACAGAGAGGGTCAGCTGAGCTTGTGCTTGCCGTTCCGAGCGCAGTGGCACAGTTGGTCTGCAGGTCTCCTTGCCTGAAGCTGCTTCGATGGACATTTTCACGTGGACGCTGCCCCAAAGTACTGGCCTGGACGAGGTAGCCGCGCTCAGCCTCTCACGTCGTGAGAGCGTCTGTCAATTGCAAAGTGGACAACGCGACTCGATTTCAGCGCTGGAGAATGGAGATACAGAGGAGGAGAAGGGGGGGAATCAGCACCAGGATGAGCAGGGGCAGGGGGGAGGAGCAGGAGCAGCAGAAGCAGGAGCAGGAGCATGAGGAGCAGGAAGAGGAGGAGGAGGAGGAGGAGGAGGAGGACGAGGAGCAGCCCATCCCTCCTGCCTCCGCCCCCCACTCCACCCCACCAAACCCAAAAGGTCGCTGTCCCTCTGCCACGCCTGGCTCATGGCGACGAACATCACCACCTGGGAGTATCTGCGGTGGAGACGGATTCCGTACCTGCGCGCGCTCCCTCCAGAAGGAGGGGTTTGGGGCTGGGGATGGGTGCCAGCAGCCGTCGCACAAGGTCTTTACTCTCTTCCTACTCCGCCGGCGCCAGGCTCGGGGCGAGGAGGAGGAGGAGGAGGAGGAGGAGGAGGAGGAGGAGGAGAAGGGGTGGAGGCGGAGGCGGAGGCGGAGGAGGAGGAGGAGGAGAAGCAGGAGCAGCAGCAGCGGCAGGTAGGAAAAGGGAAGAAGAGGATCAGGAGGAGGAAGAGAATCAGGAGGAGGAAGAGGAGGAGGAGGAGGAGGAGAAGGAGGAAGAGGAGGAGGAGGAGGAGGAGGAGGAGAGGCTTCTCGGGCGATCTTGGGGCGATCTTGGGGGCCTTTTTGGCCGCCTTGGGCCGTCGGAAGGCCGAAAAGAAGCAAATGCCAAGAGCTTCCAAGACCTATAACCAATAAATGGCGTTTGCCTCTTCGGGCCTTCCTGGAGGTCCTCTTGGGGGCCTCTTGTGCCGTCTTGGAAACCTCTTGGGGTGCTCTTGGGCCGTCGTGGGCCATCAGGAGGCCATCTTGGGCCGTCGTGGATACATCTTGAGCCATCTTGGAGGCATTTTGAGGCCCTCTTGGGGCCCTCTTGGGGCCGTCTTGGGGGCCTCTTGGGCCGTCATAGGGACCATCTTGGAGGCATCTCGGGCGCTCTTGAGGCGATCTTGGGGGCCGCCTTCGGCCGCTGGATGGCCGAAAAGAAGTACATGCCAAAATCTCCTCTCGGAGACCTCTTGGACCGTCTTGGAGGACTCTTGGGCGCTTCTTGGGCCGTCTTGGGCCTGTTTGAGGCCATCTTAGGCCGTCTTGGGTGCATCTTGAGCCGTCTTGGAGGCATCTTGCGCCCTCGTCGTCGCCCTCGCGAGTGTCCCGCTGTTTCGGTTGCACACTACTTCAATGTTCCGCCCGCCCCGACCCGTCCGCCAGTTAGGGTCCGCCCGACCGACCCGCCCGTTAGCCCGTTAAGGTCCGCTTTCTCGACCTGCCCGTCGGGGCTTGCACGCCCGACTGGCTTGTTAGCGTCGTCGTCGTCGTCGCCGCCCTCATCGTCGTCGTCGTCCTGTTCGCGCTCGTCGTCGTCCTCGTCGTCGTCGTCGTCCCCGTCCCCTTTGTCGCACTGGTCGTCGTCGGCGTCGTCGTCGTAGGTGCCCTCGTGGTCGTCGTCTTTGTCGTCGTCGCTCTTGTGGATGCCCTGATGGATGAATTGTAAACTACTTTAATGTCCCGCCCGATCGGGCCCGCCCGCCTGTTTGGGTCCGCCCGCTTAGCCCGCCCGTTTGGGTCCGCCCGTACGCCCGCACGTCGGTTCCGACCAGCCAGTTGGGATCTTGCCCGACCCGACCCTCCCGCTCGCAGGGTCCGCTTGCCTGACCCGCCCGTAACCCGCCAACCCGATCCGCCCGTTAGGATCAGCGCGCCCGTCGCAATCGTCGCCCGCGCGGTCGTTGCTAACCAGACGAAATCCAATGAAACGAATAGAATCGAACAGTCTGTTGTCGCCCTCTTTGCGTCCCAAAGCGACGGGTGGGATGAAATAATATGTGTTCCGCACGCCTGTGTTACCATGTATGACGAGTGGTGTAAAAGATTGTTTGTTCCCGCGCCCCCTAGGGTTGTCACGCCACGAGAAAAGTAGTATGTCTATTTCGCTTCGCACCCTAGGGTGGCCAGGTGGAATGAGTTGTTGCATTGTTTCCCGCACCCTTATGTTGTCATGAGGCGAGTAGGGCGAAATACTCTGTTTCGTTCATCCTTAATTGCGAGGCCAACTCAAAGCCTGCAAGAAGCCAAGGGCAACATATACGTGAGTGGTGTGCCGAATCGAGCCTCAGCCAGAAGCTTCTCGAGAGATATTGGGCACGAAGTGCGAGAGATCTGCGAGATATGCCGGATGAGAGGTCCTCTCAGTCATCTTAGGAATGAGTCAAAATCAGATGTGAGGCCAGGAAGCACGAAGTGCGTGAGGGGTGCGCCGAATGGAATCTCAGCCAAATGTTTCTGGGAGTGTTCGCAAGAGGAAGGGGCAAGATCATGAGGATGTTGATGATGAGCAGGAGGATGAAAAGGACGGGCATGAGTAGCAGGGAGGATACGATGATGATTCTTAGGACGAAGATGAACAGGAAGAGGTGGATGATAAGGTTGATGAGGTTGATGAGGAGTTGGATAAGAGGTAGGGTGAACAGACTAATGATGAGTCTCAGTAGAAAGAGGAGGAGGAGGAGGAGGAGGAGGAGAGGATGATGATGATGATGATGATGATGATGATGAGGATGAGGATGAGGATGAGGATGAGGATGGTGATGATGAGGCTCAAGGGGGGAGTATGTGGATGACGAGTATGTTAGAATGATCTGTTTTCTGGCTCCCCCTGGGTTGCCATGTGACGAGTACGCCAAGGATTCCATTGGATTTCCAAAGGATGCCCTGAGGAACCAATCGAAGAATTTCCGATGATTCTCTCAGGATCTCCACAGGATGCATACGGATTTCCTTGTTGCATTCCCTATTTCGCCAAACAGTGCTTGCACTTAGGGGATCTGATGCGTTTTCTACGGAATTGGGCCTGCGTGCCGGTCTGACGGCTATGTAGTTGCCGTCGCCGCTTCGTTGCCGCCTCGTCGCCGCCAGTCGTCTGGTCTTGCGTGTTGGTCTGGCCGCTATGTAGCCGCAGTCGCCGCCACGTCGCCGCATCGCCGCCGCCGTTAGGTTGGACCACATGGATTGCTTTGCGTTGCTTTGTATTGCTGTGCATTGCGTTGTTTTGCCTTGCTTTGCTTTGCCTTGGTCTGTATTACTGCGCATCGCTTTGCATTGCGTTACCTTGCTTTGCATTGCTTAGCATTGCAATAGTTTGCATTGCGTTGAGTTGCCTTACATTGTGTGTTGCTTTGCGTCACCGTGTATGGCATTGTTTTGCGTTGCGTTGCCTTGCATTGTCTTGCGTCACTTTGCATTGCTTGGCATTGTTTTACATTGCTTCGTGTTCTTTTGCAATGCGTTGCTTTGCATTGCATTGTTTTGCATTGACTTGCATCGTTTAGCAGTGCGTTGCTGTGCATTGCATTGCTTTGCATTATGTTGCGTTGCTTTGCATTGCATCGTTTTGCATTGTTTTGCATTGCCTTGCGTTGCATTACTTTGCATTTCTTTGCATTGCGGTGCTGTGCCTTGTGTTTCGTGGCGTTGCACTGCTTTTCATGGCCTCGCGCTCCATTGCTTTGCATTGCTTTGCCTCACTTTGCATTGGTGTGCGTTGCTTTGCATTGCTTTGCCGTGCCTTACATTGCTTTGTATTGTATTGGTTTGCTTTGCAGCGGGTTGCATTGCGTTTCATTGCTGTGCATTGTTGTACCTTCTTTGCCCTGCTTTGACCTACTTCGCATTACTGTGCGTTACGTTGCTCTTCCTTGCTTTGCGTTGCATTGCTTTGCTTGGCGCTGATTTGCCTTGCTTCGCAGTGTGTTGCGTTGGTTTGCACTGAGTTGCGTTGGTTTGCATCGTTTTGCAGTCCCCTGCATTGCGTTGTCGTGCGTTGCATTCCTTCGCATTGCTTTGTGTTGCTGTGATTTGCATTGCACTGCATTGCGCTGCATTGCATTGCTTTGCGCGTTGAATTGGCTTGCATTGCATTGTCATGCGTTTGCTTGATTTGGTTTGCTTTGTGTTGCCTCGCTTTGCATTGCCTTGCATAGCGTTACACCTATGTATTAGCATCGCGTTGCAGTGCGTTGCATTGATTTGCAGAGCGTTACATTGTTTGTATTGGGCTGCGTTGTATTGCGCTGCTTTGCGTTGCACTGCTTCGCATTGCGCTGGATTGCGTTTCGTTACATTGCTTTGCATTGCTTGGCATCGCTGTGCATTGCGTTGTCTTGCTTTACATAGTGTTGCTGTGCTGTGCACTGCTTCGCATTGCTTAGCAGTGCGTTGTGTTGCCTTGGTTCGCAGTGCATTGTTTCGCATTACTTTGCATTGCGTTTCTTTGCCTTGCTATGCGCTGCTTTTCATTGCGATGATGTGCCCTGCGTTTCGCGGCTGTGCATTCCTGTGCATGGCATTGTTTTTCCTTGGTTTGCGTTACTTGGTTTTGATTTGTTTTGTTTTGCGTTGCTGTGCATTGCTTTGCAGTGCCATGCATTGCTGTGTCTTGCGTGGCATTGCGTTGCTTGCATTGCATTACTTTGCATTTACTTACGTTGGTTTGCCTTTCTTTGCAGTGCGTTGCTGTTCCGTGCATTGCGTTTATTTGCTTTGTTTTGCATGGCAACGTGTTGCAGGAATTTGCATTGGTTTGCGTTGATTTGTTCTGTGTTGCGTTGCTTTGCATTGATTTGCATCGTTTTGCGTTGCCTCGTATTGCTTAAAATTGATTTGCATGTATGTGCATTTGTTTGTTTTGCATTTCTTTGATTTGAATTGCGTTGCATTGCTTTGCGTTGCGTTGCATTGATTTGCATTGCGTTGCTTTGCCTTGCGTTGATTCGCTTCGCGTTGTTCCGCTTTGCATTGCGTTGCACAGCTTTGCATTGATTTGCATCGTTTTGCCGTGCTTTGCCTTGCGTTGCAGTGCGTGGCATTGTTTTGTATGTCTCTTCGGTGCTTGCATTGCGTTGCATTGGTTTGCGCTACTTCACAGTGCGTTGTAATGTTTTGCACTGCGTTGCATTGATTTGCGTTGCATTGCCTTGCATTGCTGTGCACCATATAGATTCTCCTTTCTAAAAACAGAACAGGATCTACCCCCCCCCCGGCGTTATCATTCCCCTTTTCGGGTATGTAAATCACATATGAGTCTGACCACATGTCCATCCTAAATTAAATTTACACTATCCCCGGGGGGCCGGTATCCCCCCCCTGAGGTTCCCTTGTAAAAAACACTATGCGGTGACATTTTTTGTTCTAACATAACACTTTGTCACGAATCCCTTGCAAAAAAAGGGACGAAGTGCACACGCGCGCGTCGTCGCGCGCGCATGCCGAAATCCTTCAGAAACCTTCGGTGCAGGAAGGATTTCGCAATCGAGTTGCCAAGAAACATGCAAAAACACAGGGTTTCGCAACACTGATTTGCTAAAAAAGCTTCCGCGCGAGCTCTTGCGAAATCTTAAGAAAACCATAGGCTTTTCAAGATTTTCACAAAATGCTATTAAACGGGCTTCGCGCGCGCGCATGTCGAAATCTGTCGAACGCCGTTGCGCGTGTGCCGTCGCGAGAATCCTCTAAAAAAAATGGGACGAAGTGCAGACGCGCGCGTCGTCGAGCGCGCATGCCGAAAACCTTCAAAACCCATCGGTTTCGGAAGGATTTCAAAATCGTGTCTCCAAAAAACCTACAAAAACACAAGATTTCCGTTGTCTTCTGTCTTTCCTCGTCGTCGTCGTCGTCGTCGTCTTGGCGTCGTCGTCGCTTCCGTCGTCGTTGTCGCCGTGGTCGTCTTTCCTCCCTCGTCGTCTTCGTCGGCGTTTCGTCGTTGTCCCTCCTATTTCGTCGCCGTCGTCGTCGTCGTCGTCGTCTTTACTCTTCCCTCGTCGTTATCCTCCTCCCTCGTCGTCGTCGTCGTCCGTCGTCGGCGTCTCGTCGTCGTCCCTCCTATTTCGTCGCCGTCGTTGTCGTCTTCGTCGTCGTTGTCGTCGTCGTCGTCTTCCCTCCTCCCTCGTCGTTGTCGTCGTCGGCGTCGCCGTCCTTCCTCCTTCTTCGTCGTTCGCGTCGTCGCCGTTTTCCCTCCTCCATCGTCGTTGTCGTCGTTGTCGCCGTCGTCGTCCTCCCTCCTCCCTCGTCGTCGTCTTTGTTGGCGACGTCGTCGTCGTCTTCGTCGTCGTCGGCGTCGGCGTCGTCGTCGTCTTCGTCGACGTCGACGTCGGCGGTGTCGTCGTAGTCGGTGTCGGCGGCGCCGTCGTCGCCGTTGTCGCTGTCGTCGTCGGCGTCGGTGTCGTTGCCAAGTGCCATGTGGTACCTACTGTCACGGTCTTGTCTTAAGAAGTCTTGCGACCAAGTTGCGGGCGGGTGGGTGGGATATTTGCGCGAGCAGTGGAGGTGGTCAGGCGCGGTGCAGGGTAGTCAATTGCACCACATAGGTTGCACCATCTAGATTGCACTACCAACATTGCATCACGTTGATTGCACCGCCTAGATGACACCGCAAAGATTGCCACAAATCACTGCTCGAGGTCCCCGCTGGCTAATACCCTACTTATCCTTCTGGATTCCCTTCGGACTCCGAGGGGATCCGAATGTCTATGGCGGTCCTCATCGTCGTTTTCGTCGTCCTCCTTATCCACCTTCGCGTTGTCATCCTCGTCGTCGTTCTCGTCGTCGTCGTCGTCGTCGTCGTCATCGTCGTCGTCCTCGTCGTCGTCGTTTTCGTCACCGTCATTGTTGTCGGCGTTCTCGTCGTCGCCGTCGTCCTCGTGGCGGGCGGGCACGCGCGCGCGCGTGCGAGCGGGCAGGCGGGTGAGCGGGCGGGCATGCGGGCGCGCGGGCCGGCGGGCGCGAAGGCGGGCGGGCGGGCGGGCGGGCGGGCGGGCGCGCGGGCAAACGTGTCGGGGGGCGGGCGGGCGGGCGCGCGCAGGAGCGCGGTTGGGCGAGCGCGCGGGCGGGCGGCTGGGCGACCCGCCGACAAACCAACCGACCAACCAATCAACCAACCGTAGCCATTTTGGCCCAACCAGGTTGACCCCAGGTATTTTGGATCCATGCCGCGATGCCTTGTCTTTCGGATGCCGGACATCGGTCGAGGGTCTCGAGAAGGCGCTATTTCCCTCGAAGCGTCGATCAAGAACTGCGGTCGGACAAAACAATGGAGCGCAGCACTGCGTTTGCTCCGCGAAGGAATTCGATCAAGTGTGCAACTTGTCACAAGCCACTACAGGGCGACTGTCAGCGCATGCAGCAAAGGCGGGCAGTGGCAACACGTGCTGTCGGTGCTCCGTGAGATGCGGGAGGCGAAGCTGGAGCCCGACGTCATTTGTGCTACAACTCTGGCCGAAGCGCGTGCGAGAAGAGCTTTAAGTCGCAGGCACCCCCCGAGAGCCTGCGGGGCGTGTGGAAAACACGGCCCAGAACACCAAAAATTCGCCCTCGCTCGCCGCCGAGAGGGGGGGAGCGCGCAGCGGCAGCCGCGGCGGCGGCGCGCGGGGGAGGGCGCGGCCCCGCCTCCCCCCGCCGACGCCTCCTCGGGAAGCGGGGCGCCGCAGCGTGGCGCCGCCGCGAGGGGCGGGCGCGCGCGCGGGCGCCCGAGGCCCGCGATGAGGCGAGGGGGGCAGGCGGAGCGCTACCCGACGGCTTTGGAAGGCGCTGGGCCGCTCGCCGACGGCTCCCTGGCCCCCAGCGCGGCTCCCGGGCCCGCAGCGCGGCCCAAGACGGCTTCCCACAGAGCCTCCAGGACGTTTCACGACGGCCCCAGAAGGCCCCTGGGCCGCGCGCCGACGGCTCCAAGACGGCTCCCCACAAGCCCCAAACCAAGCCCCATACCCCACACCGAGCTCCCGACACCTCCAGAAGGCCCCTGGGCCGCTCGCCGACGGCTCCCTCGCCCCCAGCTCGGCCCAAGACGGCCTCCCAGAGAGCCCTCAGCACGCTCCCGACGGCCCCACGAGGCCCCTGGGCGCTCGCCGACGGCTCCACGACACCCGCATCGTCCCGCCCCAAACCAAGCCCCATACCCCCCACACCGAGCCTTCTCGCCCCCCGACGGCCTCCCAGATAGCCTCCAGGACACCCCCCAACGGCTCCAGAAGGCCCTTCCCATGACGCCAGAAGTTGCTCAACCCCGCCCCAGGCCCTGGACCACTATGAGCTTCAAGAGACCCTCTCGGGGGCTTCCTGTCCTCCCCAGCCGCGGCCGCGGCATGCTCTCACAGTATCAGATACCGTCGTTACCCAGGCCTCGCAGTATTGGTGACAAGGGGGGGGCCTTTCCATGCGCTCGCAAGCGCCAGACCCAGCCCCATGCCCCATCCCGAGCCCTGCCTATTCCAGATCTTCGCAACCGCCTGGTGTCGCTCCACAGCCGCACTGCGCTCCAGACCCCACCCCGGCGCCCAGACCACTCTGACCAGTCTAATCTGCCGCGCACACGCACCCCGAGCCCTGGACCATTCTGAGCTGCCCCAGACCCTCTCAAGCGCCTCCTGTCGTACCCCAGGCGCACCACGCCCCAGATCCCAGCCCGAACCCTGGACCACTCTGAGCTCCCCCTGACCTTCTCGCGAGCCCCACATGCGCGGTCGGGACCTCTGAGCCCTCAGAGCTCTTGAAGACCCACAGCTTCGCGAAGCTGCTGAGGTCCAACGAGCTGTTCTGCGACGGCTTCGTCGCGCCTGCCTTGGATGCACTCCGCGAGCCGCCAAGCGAGTCCCGGGGGCGCGCAGCCCCAGAGCGGAGAGCCTTCTGACTTCCTCTCCAGGCACCCAGGCAAGGGGTGACAGGGGGGACCTTCCCCAGACCCGGAAGCCCCAGAACAAGCCCCAGACCCCACACCAGGCCCTAAGACCACTCCGACCTGCCCCAGACCCCCTGAAGAAACTTCGAGCCGTGGACCCCCCGGAAGCCCTCAGACCATAACCCCAGGCACCCCAGCAGGGGTGACAAGGAGGACCTTCCCCTGGCCCCGCAAGCCCCAGACTCCACACCAGGCCCTAGACCACTCCTAACTGCCCGAGACACCTTCAAGAGGCTCTTCTGACTCCCAAGCCGCGGTACGCTCTCTCTGTTTCAGGATCCGGAGTCTCGGATCGTCGGGCCTTCATCCAGCCCTGGATCAGACCATGACCCCAGGTCCCCAAACAGGAGTGACACGGGGCACCTTCCCATGCCAGCCCCAAACCAAGCCCCAGACTCCACCCCAGGCCCACGACCACCTCGACCTGCCCCGGGCCCTCTCAAGAGCTCCCCGTGGTGGTCCAGCTGTGGCACGCGCTCGCTGTTTCAGGAACCGGTGCTTCGGATCGGGGAGCCCCCTGGCAGCCCCCCCTCCCGGGTCCTTCCAAGATCGCACCGAGGTGGCCCAAGAGGCCCTCACGAGCCCACCAAGACGGCCCACGAGGGCCCCAGGACGGCCCAGAAAACAGGCCCCAGCGAGCCTCACGGAGCCTGCTCCCCCCCGAGACGCACCAGGAGCTGCCCAGGAGTGCCCAAACAAGATTCCCAGACGGCCCCAGACCCCTTTATCAAGTGGTCGTTGTTTTACTCGTTGTTTTGCCGATCTGCGCGGGCCCTCGCACACCCCCCTCCCCCCTCCCCCCCTGGAATAGATCTTGGCTGCTTTTGGCGACTGTTTCGAGCAGGTGGAGCCTCCCACATGATGGACGCACTGCTGCGAATAAGCAGAAGTCCAGAGTCAGACCCCCCCCTCCCCCCTTCCTCCCAACGTCGAAACGCCGAATAAAGAAACGCTCACCATGGCCCGAAGATGGCCGAGGGGGCCCCCGGCGGTTCGGCCCAAGAGGGCCCCCGAGGATTCCAAAGACGACCCACAAGACCAGAAATCAAGCAAAGACCCTGTGTGTTCCCAGGTTTCCCGCGCTCTCGCCATGACGGGCCCCGCGATGGCCCAAAAGACCCCGACAAGCGCAACAACCCGGCCCAAGAGGGTCCCAAGCCAGCCCAAGACAGACCCCCACGGCCTACTGGAGTTCCAGGTGGCCCCCCAAGACGCACCAAGAGCAGCCCACAAGGGCCCACACTGAGCTCCCAGACGGCCCCAGACAACCACTCTAGCCCCAAGAATGCCCAAGAGGCCCCCGGGACCCACGAGGACCCCGATGACCGTCCCGCGAGGCCAACAATCAAGCAACAACCTTGTGGTCTCCAGTGTTTGCGCACATTCTCCCAATGACAGGCCCAGAACGGTACCACGCGGATTCTGGCATTTTCGCGATCGCCCCAAATTGGCCCGAGAGGCCGTGACAGGCTCACTAATACGGCCCAAAAGGGCCTCCTCCCCCCCGGATGCCGGCCCCAGACGGCATGGTAGAGCTTCAAGTTGCCCCCCGAGACACTTCAGGAGTTGCCCAAGAGGGCCCCGGCCGAGTTCCAACACGGCCCCAGACCCCCACCATGGCCCCAGGACGGCCGTGGAGGCCCCCGGGACTCCGCGAGCTACTGAAGACAAGGGATCGCCCGCGAGGGCACCCCAGCATGTCTCGAGCCCCCTCCCGCCGATCAGGGGTGACAGGAGGGACCTCATATCTTCTCTGCCACGGCTTCCTCCTTTTGGAGCCTGCACTTCCCCCCTCCGCTACGGTAGTGCTCTCCTCCTCCTCCTCCTCCTCCTCCTCCTCCTCCTCCTCCTCCTCCTCCTCCTCCTCCTCCTCCTTTTCCTCCTCCTCCTCCTTCTCCTCCTCCTCCTGCGAGAGGATGCAGCGACACTGGACTACGGGCTTCCCGCAGCCGCCGATGCCACGAGAACCCTTCAAGGACCACTCCGAGATACTCCAGAGCCTCTGAAGACACTCGCAGGCAGCCTCCAGCCCCAGAGCCCAGAGCCCGCAGCAAACCCAAGAGCTTGTCGGTCCCGAGCGCGCACGTGCCGCCTGCGATCGGCGACACATGCGCGGTCGGCACCGATTCCTTGATGTGCCAGCCGTGGATTTTCCACGGGTTCACACTAGTCTCTACTACATTGCAGGAGCAGGTGCGTGTGAGACGACCGGGGGCCCGACAGGCTATTTCTCGGCCCCGGCGGCCCCTGCGAGACCCAGCAGGCCCTGGTGCGCTTCGAGGATGGCCAAAGAGCGCTCCGAGACGCCCCCGGAGGCCTCCGAAGGGTTCTTACTCTCTTTGCTTAAAGGGGCCGGGCAGTGTTCCCCGCCCCGGGCGGTTTCCCCAGGATCCGCCCCGCGGTTCCCCCAGTTGCGCCCCCTGGGTTCACCCAGCTTAGCTTAGCTCAGCTTAGCTTAGCTTAGCTTAGCTTATCTCATCTTAGCTTAGCTTAGCTTAACTTAGCTTTGCCTAGCTTAGCTTAGCTTAGTTTAGCTTAGTTTAGCTTAGTTTATCTCATCTCAGTTTAGCTTTGCTTAGCTCAGTTCAGCTTAGCTTGGCTTAGCTTAGCTTAGCTTAGCCTAGCCTAGCTTAGCTTAGCGCAGCTTAGCTTAGCAATGCAAAGCAAAAGCAAAACCAATGCGAAAGTGTAGATGTAGATGTAGATGTAGGTGTAGGTGTAGATGTGGATGTAGGTGTAGAATGTAGATGTAAATGTAGGTGTAGGTGTAGATGTAGGTGTAGATGTAGATGTAGATGTGAGTCTCGCTGTTGATGTTGATGTAGATGTAGATGCAGGTGGAGATGTAAATGTAGCTGTCGGTGTAGATGTAGATGTTGCTTTCCTAAATGCTCCAACTCCGAGGTAGGGTCGCACTGGGATAATTTGTTTGTAAAGCGTCCCAGACGACAGCACATGTCCCCAAGCTCGCCCCAAAACGCCTTAGGAGGGCCCCAGCAGGGCTCCACGACGGCCCCAGACGGCCCCCAAGACGGCCCCAGACGGCCCCGAGAGGCACACAAGAGGGCCCCAAGAGGACCTCAGGAGGCCGCAAGACGGCCCAAGAGGGCCCTAAGAGGCCCCCAGGAGGCAGAAAAGAAATCCCGAGAGGCCCCCAAACAGTTCCCAAGCAGAAGGCAGCGCCCGCTATAAGGCTTCGAAAAGGCAGCCGGAAAAAGTTACCAGAGCCCTCCGGGATACTTTTTTCTCGGCCCCAGGTACTTTCAAAATGGTTCAAACCAGGGGGAGCAGACAAGCGGCGAGAGGCACACCGCAGACCGACCATAGCCGTACGTGATGCTCCGGAGGCTGTCCAGGTGGACGTGGAGTGGAAGGCGGGCGAAGAGGAGGAAGCGCCCACCTTCCAACTTCGGAAAGGCGGCCGGAAAAATGAACCGAAGGTTTCGGGGTGGTTTGTTCCTGGGCGGGGGCCCAACGTGGAGGCGCGCCAGGGGGACCTGCTGGTCGTGGACGAAGTCCACGGGTTCGC